TATCTTTTTAATCATGATTACCCTTAGATAAAAACTCCCTTAATATGTGTAATATGGATACTTTAGAGAATGCATTGTAAATTTAGGAGATAAAGTAGATTGAAATTTTAGTTTCAACCAGCTCTTATATTAAGAATTGGAGGTGATATATTTTCTTAAATGAATACTAGACTCCAAAAATATATTTTTCCGGTTCTTAATATAAGACCTAATTAGAAGGTTGATCTCTTGTTTCTTATATTTATCAATTCTTTTCTAAATTACTCATATTAAATAATTAAATACCACAATAATACTTATTACTCATTGATAATACACCTATATAATTTATAAAATGAGGGAGTACTTATTACTCATTAATTCCACACATACATCAATTCTACCATTTGATATTTTTAATAAAATAATTTAAAACATTTTTTGAAATGTCAGTTTTTCAAAGAAATTTTAACTGAGGATATTTTGGAAAATATATATCATATTTATGATTACTACCTAATTTAATTAACTTTTTTAATTTAATCAAAATAGTTAAATAGGTCTTATATTAAATATCAGATGAGTATAACTTCTCAGATAGACATTAAAAGCCAAGCAGTTCCTCATATTTAAATATTCAAGCACGTCAATCTTGCAAGAATTTTTTTCATTTTTGGGTTGCATTGAAAAATGGAGCAAGAGAAATGTAGCCGATATACTACAAATGAATCCAAGACTTCTAAAGTTTTTTATGCATGAAGTTTGTCCAAAATTCAATACAAACTATCTCTACCTTATATTGTATATGTTTTTTGTTTTAAATTTTGAAAAGGGACAATTATATATAACCACAACTTTAAAAGAATAAGAAAAAATTCCCCGACAAAGAATCTTGAAATTACAATATTTCAATTTTAAAAGAAAATTTTGAAAAAAATGCCACTAGTGAGGGGTTCAAAATTTTAAAAAGTAAAAGGTCATGAATTTCAAAATTCTAAGTTGGATTTACTTTCTTTTATGTTATTTTGAAGTGTTAGGTATCTGAATTAAAATATTATAATTTTAAGATTCTCCCAAATAGCCACTTTTCGACCCTAGTCCTAAACCTAATTAATTAAAGGAAAAATGGAAAGTAAAAGTTTCATTGAAATCGTAATTTCATTCAAAATATCATTGGATACTAAACAATTACTAGTCAGGGGTTCAAATTATTTTTTTAAAAATAAAAGGTCTTGAATTTCAAAATTCTAAGTTGGATTTACTTTCTTTTATGTTATTTTGAAATGTTAGATACCTAAATTAAAATATCGTAATTTTAAGATTCTCCCAGATAGCCAGGCTTTGAGCCTAGTCCTAAACCTAATTAATTAAATGAAAAATGTAAAGTACAAGCTTAATTGAAACTGTAATTTCATGTAAGATATCATTGGAAGCTAAACAATTTTTTTTTTCTTTTTTTTACTATACCCCTCTTTTGGGTGATGGGATGTTTTTTGATTTCAACATCTCATTCCCTTATCTCCTTAGCATTGAAGGCAAGGATTCATCATGGGCCTAATGCTGGCGGACTATCAAAATGGATCTATTTTGATTTATACTTGGGCCTTGAATATTACAAAATGCATGGAAGAAATGGCAAAACCGTCAGAAGTGGGATTTGAACCCACGCCCTCTCTCGAAGATCAGAACTTGAGTCTGGCGCCTTAGACCACTCGGCCATCCTGACTTGATGTTAGTTGCGGAGAAGGTACTTGTATGTTTTATACAGCGTTGGTAAATTTAAACATATATGTTTTTTGGGACCGGAATTCATGATTCATATTAGTAACATACTACATCCGGTACTAATTATAAGAGCTAGTTAATTAATTTGAGAAGATTAAAAAAATAAGTTAATTTAGTTATTTGTAATAAATAGGTGGTGTTTTTCCTAAAATATCTTTACTAATTAAGTGTGTTGGCTATAACTACTATTATTAGAAGGATTATCTTAGAAAAAAATGCATAAATATTAGAGATAAAGTGGATTGGGGTCTTATATTTAGGACTAAAATAAAAATTAAATAAGATCTTATATTAAAGACTAAAAGTATTATAATAAGAATGATACTCGAGAGTTTGCCATGTAACATTAAACATTGGAAAAATTGACTTTTTTTTTTTTGGTAATAAAAGGAGTAGAGCTCAAAGCTAAATACTAATTCTACGGGGAGTCAACACTCCCTCTCTGTCATTCCTCATCTGACTCTCAATCTCTTCCGGAGGCTGGTTCCAAATCTTTCTCTGTTGCGATTGTTTTCTCCCCATCCAGGCTAATTTATCCGCGCAGTAGTTTCCTTCCCTATAGACATGCTTTAAACTGATATTCCAGTCCCTAGTAAGCAGTTCTCTGATTTTTAAATACACGTTTTGACAGTCTTCCAGAATTTCATTCTTCTCCAGCGCCATAATTAACTTCCTTGAGTCGCTCTCCACTTCTATCTTCTTGAATCCCAGGTCCCAACAAAGTTTCAGCCCCTCGTAAAGTCCTATTGCTTCAGACTCTAGAGCTTCGACCCAGCATAGCCTCATAGTAAAACCACCTAGCCATTCTCCACAGTCTCCTCTTATTATGCCTCCACATCCTGCATCATTCCTTGCCATCCACGATCCATCCACATTCAGCTTGCACCAGTTTGTCAGGGGAGCAGTCCACCCAACTCGTATCTCGCAGGTTTCTTTTTCTGTGTAGTTACCTTCGTTCCATCGTTTGTTGTAATGCTCTATGTGCTGAGTGATTAAGGATGCTGCATTATGTTTCATCTCGAATTCCTCATCATGTAGGCTCAGGTTCCTCCATTTCCACGCATACCAGCAGCCAACTGCAAATATTTCCGGTCCCCATCTTCCTTCTTGCCTTTTTCGATCTGGTTTGATGTTCTGCAGAATCCAGTTCTTCTGTGACTTGGAGAAAAAAGGTCTCCAAATTTTTTGCGGGACGATTTTTCTCCAGACATGATTTATGCACGGGCAGTCTCTGAGTGTATGTAAAATGCTTTCTGTTTCCATTTTACATCTTCCACAAACCGCATTTGCACCACTCCATTTGCTTGTGAGTTGCCCTGTTGGTAACCTTCCGTGCATTGTCATCCACATGAACACTTTAACTCTCTCCGGGACTTTTAGTTTCCATAAGTACTTCCATTTGGCTCTTGCTCTTTCATCTCTTCTCTGGTGTAGCCAGTTATAGGCACTTGACGTGGACAAGAGGCCGCTTTTGTTTAGTTTCCATTTTAGTCGTCCTTCCTCCCTTTGTATGTTTCTCTTAAAATCTTCCCACACTCTTGTCATTTCTTTCCACAGACTGGAGTCGCTCCCTTTGACTATTGGTTGATCCCCTTCTTCTTGTTCCCTACCGTACTTGCCTTTTAAGACTTCTACCCACAGGTCACGCGGCTCTTGCTCCATCCGCCAGAGTAGTTTGAGGATAAATGCCTCATTCATAGCTTTTAATGATTTGATTCCCATGCCCCCTTCCATCTTCGGTCTGCACAAAGTGTTCCATGCGATGGCATGCCATTTTCGCTCTCCGTTTTGTTCTCCCCATATAAAGTTTCGCTGTTCTTTTTCAATGTCATCTATGATTCCTTTAGGAATCTTTCCATGTTGCATAGGATACATTGACATTGAGCTAGTCACCGATTTGACCAGTGTGAGTCTTCCCGCCAGCGAAAGGCTCTCAGCTTTCCAACCTCCAAGTTTCTTCCTGATCTTCTCTACAATGTGCTGAAATTTATCTCTTCTTCTCTTTGGAGATGAGATGTTGGCCCCCAAGTATTTCCCCAGCTCTTCCACTTCCTTGAAATTACTTCTGCCGCAGATCTCCTTTCTGGTTCGTCCGTCCACGTTTGGGGAGAAGTAAATGTAAGTCTTTCCTTCATTTAGTTTATGCCCTGAGCAGTCTCCAAATTCCTGAAAACAATCAAGTATTAATTGCACTTGTTTAGTGTCAGCCTCTGCAAATAAAACAAGATCGTCAGCAAACATCATATGAGAAATAATGGGTCCTCTTTGACCAGCTCTCATTCCTCTCCAGTGTTTCTCTCTCACTCGATCAAGTATCATGTGGGTGAGTTTTTCCATGCTTAGCACAAAGAGGTAGGGGGAGAGTGGGTCTCCTTGTCTCAATCCTCTGGAGGTGTTGAACGGTTCCAGTTTGTCTCCATGCCAGAGTATCCTGGTTTCTGGGGTTTGAACACAAGCCATAATTCTTTCGACCATGCTGTCCGGGCATTTTAATTCTTTCAAGATTTTCTCTATGAATCTCCAGTTAATTCTGTCATATGCCTTCTCTAAATCTACCTTGATTGCCATAAAACCTTTCTTTCCTTTCTTTTTCTTCATTGAGTGCACCATCTCATTGACAATAATTATATTGTCCTGTATGTTTCTGCCAGGTACAAAGCTCACTTGGAAGGGGCACACAATTTTTTCCATGACTAGTTTGAGCCTTTGAACAATGATCTTGGATAAGCATTTATAGGTCACATTGCAAAGTGAGATAGGCCTTAATTGAGTCACTCTTTCCGGGTTCTCTACCTTTGGTATAATCGCTACAAGTGTGGAGTTCACCTGTTTGATGTTCATCGGATTGTACCACAGGTTCCTAACTGAGTTCTTAACACTTTCCCCCACAGTTTCTGGAAGAATATTGCAGGATATCCATCCTCGCCAGGAGCTTTGAGAGCTCCAATCGCAAACATTGTTCTTCTAATTTCCTCATCATTAATTCCATCGCAGATGTTGCTCCATTCATTTTCTGTCACACTCGGCCAAGTATGTTTCGTTTGGGGCCAGGGTCTCTGATGGTTTTCCTCCTTGAAAAGGTTCTGGAAGAAATTGTTAACCAAATAGCCTGTGTTCTCTCTGCCTTCTATCCACTCATTTTCTTCATTTTTCAGGACATTAACTCTATTCCTCCTCCTCCTTATTCTGGTTTTTGTATGGTAATAGGTGGTGTTCCTATCCCCATCAATTAGCCACTACGTTCTAGCTTTCTGGAACCAGAGTAATTCCTCCTCATCTAGTAGTTTTCTTAGGTCCTCTTGCAGCCTTCCTTCCAATCTGTCTAGAAACGGATTATGTCGGTAGTGCAGAGATCGCTGAATGCCTTCTAGCCTTCTTAGAATCTCGGCTTTTCTTCTAGCAATATGCCCAAACACATTAACATTCCAGTCAAGCAGTTTAGGTTCAAGCTGTTTCAAGTTTTGCCAGACCATTCTTGGTTGCTCCCAATTTTTTTTAACCACTTTTCTAAAGTCTTCATGTTTCATCCAACAAGCTTCAGACCTGAAGGGTCTGTTTCTTCTCACTTCCAATTTCTCTTCCATGAAAACAAGCAGCGGATGGTGGTCAGAATTAAGTCTTGGTCCTACCCTTAACCAGGCCTCTCCAAACAGATTCCTCCAATGTTGATTGCATAGTCCACGGTCAAGACGTTTGAACAGTCTATTTCCATGCGAAGTTAGAGGGCCTCGCCAAGTCATATTGGGCCCCTCAGCACCCAAGTCAATTAGTCTACATTTCTCAATGTTCTCACTAAACCTCCGACATTTTCTCTCATCTATTTTTCCACCTCTCCTTTGTTCCTTTTCATCCCTTATATCATTAAAGTCACCCAGTAAAAGCCACGGTCCTGTATTCCTGTTCGCCAGAATTCTTAAACATTCCCATAACTCTTTTCTTTCCTGTTCCCTCGGGCTTGCATAAATGGCTGTAAGATTCCAAGTGCATCGTCCTATTCCTGTCACCTGACAATGAATGTATTGCTTGTTTTGTGCGATGACAGAAACATTTATCATATCATCCTTCCAGAGAATCCAAATTCCCCCGGATAGCCCACGAGCTTCCTCAATTATCTGGTGTTTAAAACCCAAGTTTTTAATCACTTTTTGAGCTTTACTACCGCTGCATCTTGTTTCCACCAAAATCACCATGCTTGGTTTGTAACGTCTCATGAGTTCTTTTAGAGCGTTGCCAAAGTCTCGTCCGGCGGCTCCTCTAGCGTTCCATGCAATAATCATCTTAAAATTTAAGGGGTGAGACAGGAGATCACTTACCGTAACTCGTGTCTTCCTTCCTCTTCTCGTGACCCATTCTTCCTCTTCTCTTCGAGTTGGTCTAGTCTATCTGGTAGGTCCATACCTTCCATTATCTCATCATCATCTGGTGGTGGTTTTTCTTCCTCACAGCCCATTGCTTCATCAGCATCAATTGGGAGTGAGTCAAGAAAATTATCCACAATGTGATCTTCGGTTCCATCTCCTCTATTTTCTGGTGGCCCACCATGCATCTTACAACCCTGTTCTATTTGGTTCTCCTCTCTTGGGCCTAATTGTATTTCATTCGGTCCAACCCCTTGCTCCCCCTTTTCAACATCTTGGTCCATTTGTTGTAGCCCACTTCTTTCCATTTTCTTACAGTCTCTCCTTTTTCTTCACTCCCCAGATGCCTATTTTTTAACATTTCGGCAGATCCATTTCCTTTTCCTCTGTTTTTCCGTTCCCTCACAGCTTTTCCTTTCCCCTCATGTGTGTCCATATTTCCTTTTTTCTCTTTCTCCTTCTGAGCATTCGAAACTTCCGTCGGAGGTCTTTGTACCCTCCCTTCCTCCTTTTCCTCTTCTCCATTCACTTCCTCAACCTCTAGCGCCGCATACCTCGAGGTATAGGTCTCCTTACTTGTCCCTTTCTTCACTGACACATTCTGACCTTCTTTCTGCACTGGCCGCCTTCCCCTCCTTGTCAGTTGTACCTTCATCCATTCACCAAAACAACTTTCCTGTTCATTTTCCGATGACCTGTTCTCTCCTTCTTTGCGAGCGTTCTTACCGGAAGCTCCTTCATTCTGTGTGTTTTCCTGTACTGCCGGTTGCTTGCTAGGGCAGTGTTCCTGGTCATGGCCGAATCTGCCGCAATGGTAGCATATAATTTGAAGGCCCTCATATTCAATCTTAAGTCTGTTTCCATCAATGGTATATGAGCCCAACAGGGGAGCATTCAGATCGACTTCAACACACATTCTCGCGTACATCGTTCTTGCCCTTGACAGAGTCATCTCATCTACTCTTAGTGTAGTTCCTATTTTGTTGCCCAGGTTGTAGAAGAATTTTCTATCGTAATAGTCTCCAGGGAGTCCCGGTAACCTAACCCATATGGCAACTTTTTGAATCTTTTCGTTCCATGGGTTGAAATTTCGTTTCCATGTTTGAACCGTGAGATAGCTATTTTGTACTATCCAGGGTCCTCCTTCCAGTGCCCAGAAAATAGTCATCCACTTCTTGAAAGGTAGCTATCATGTAACCGTTTCCTATCACTGATAAATCCACATTTCCTCCTTTCCCCCAAAGGAGCTGAACTTTCCTCCTTAGTTGCATGAAGCCGATGCTTCCTCCCAGCAGTTTCACGATGAGTGAGTTTTGCCAGCTCTGTTCTAACCTCTTTCGTTCCTTTTCTGTGAAGTTTATTTGTGGTCCTTGGTCAGTATCTATCACCGTGATTCCCTCCTTCATTGGAAAAATTGACTTTTAGTGGTACTAGGAGCCATATAATGAGTTCACTGCCAAAAAAAAAAAAGCGTTGACACTTAAAATTAAGTCACTATTAAAACTATATTTATAGACTAAGTCATGACACCTGTATTTATATTTTAACATGATATTAAAACAATGCATTATTTTGTTAACGTTTTTTCTTAAGTTATTACTTTGTTTCATTGGTTTAATTTGAGTGGTTAGTCTTGATTAGTTTAATGTGATTAGGGCAAGATAATGTGAGAGTTTGCTCCTCCTATTAAATTGTACTCATAATGTTCTTCTTTTTAAATGTGACTCTTATTTCTCAATCGTTCATCCCCCCCGGGCCCAAAAAAGCTTTTGCTTGTTGTAGCTTTTATATGCAAATGTGACATTTCTTTCGGTTGGGAGCCTATCTGATATGCGCTAGAATGAAACATGAGTTGCTGAAAAATATTACATTTGGTTGGATGAAAATAGATTGGAAGATTGAGCAATTTTACCATGTTACCTTTCAATGAAAAATATAATATTATTAAATAAAAATATGCTTTTTAATTAAAATATCCCCACATTGAAGCCCTTGTCTTTGACATTTGCCCTGTTTCTGCCGTAACAATAACAAGGGAGCAGACAGAGCAACTGTAATTTAACAACAACATTGCATCATGATCCGAGTTTGGATGCAAAATTGAAATTCATTTAATAAATTCCAATTGGCTTCATGTTATGTGGTTTTATCGATATCAATTGAAATGATAGATAAATTGGAATTTACGGACAACAATTACACTTTGCTCGCCAAGTTTATGCACAAAATTGAAAGCATTTAATAAATTACCATTGCGTTTCGTCATTTTAACAATGGGATATATTAATGTAAATTGGAACTTGTGTTGGCAAATTTCAATTCATTGTCATCAATTGGAATTTCTCTATCCAAATTCCAATTTCAGGCATGACATATCCCACTTTCACACAAAATTGCAAGTGACCTGAGCCATATTTGAGTGCTTTATTATGCTCTGTTTTCCCCCCCTTTTTGGCGGCAAGCAGAGTAAGTTTCTAACTCAAAAAAAGGTGACATAATATCAACACTTATGACAAGTAATGAACATATAGCTTATATGTACTTGATATATATGTACATAGTCATTACACTTGTGAAAAGCTCGAGCAATCTACAAATATCTAAGCTAATAGATTATTTATAATGATCTATCTAGTAGATGGAAGTTTAAGTAAAACATTACCAACACTCAAAACCAAAGCCATGACTAAGCAAGTACATCAATCATTGATCAAATGTTACCAGCAGTCCAAAACTCAAACTCCAAAACTGTGCCATGCATGCCTAAGGGAATGAGATGTCAGATGAGCATACTTACAGTCTTGCACAATTGAAGTGAGTGTGAGTGTGTGACTAACATATTGAGGGATTGGGACAAGGATGAGAGGACGAGACCAAGAGGGTTAAAGAAAGAAGAAGAATAAGCAGAAGAATGAAGAAGATTGCTCCAGTTTTCCTTTCAGCAAAAGAAGAAGGATGAGTCAGTGGTCTCTCTCTCTCTCTCAACATAACGATGATGATGATGATCTTCCCTTTAATCAACATTTCAGCGATAAATGGGTCATCGGCCATTTGAGGCGAGCAATTGAAAATTGGTCATCACCAAGACCAATTTTGGTGGGAACCCATTTTCATATGTTTAAAAGAAAAATCAATCGTTTCCCACCACTTCTTCGAACCAAGCGCTCGCTGCAAAGTGAAAAATTTTGATTTCCCATTTGCGTGCAGGATTTTCCTCCAACCAAACAGGCTCTTGGTATGGTGCAGCGGAAGAGAAAAGTTGTGGCAGTGACAAATAAATTGAGAGGTACCATGCTTATTAACAATGTATAATAAGAATGATGCTTATTAAATTAGCATTCTTATTTTCAGTTGCATTTTTCTATTCAACGACGAAGAAAAATTGGTGTATAGATGTTTTTTTCAATGTTGATCAATTAATTATTCGACCATAGCCAACTCTAACATGCGTTAGCGTCTTACTTTTCTGGCCTTGACTTTAGAGAGCTATATGAATGCATTTTGTGGATACAAATGCTGATATGTGTGTCTGTGTGTGTATATTGATGTACTACCTCCGGTCCTTAATATAAGACCCTATTTGACTTTTATTTTGGTCCTAAATATAAGACCCCAATCCACTTTGTCTCTCATATTTATACTTTTTTTTCAAAATAGTCCTTCTAATAATTGTAGTTCTATCCAATATAGTTGATTAGTAGGAATATTTTAGGAAAGACAACACCTATTTATTACAAATAACTAACTTAACTTCTTTCCTTAATCTCCTCAAATTAGCCAACTGGGTTTTATAATTAGGACCGGAGGTAGTATATATTGGGCTTAACTTGTCCGTTTTCGACATGGATTTATGTGATACTTGAAAGGTTATTAGGTGACTACAATTATATTTTGACTTTTATAACTTTGTCGAATAATGTTAACTAAAGAATTGTTTGACAGAGATTTTCAAAGTTTTTGTTTGTCTTTGTTTGACGGTATACCGATCATATTGTCAATTATCATTCCATAAACGGCATTTCAATTTGCTTTGAGGGAATATTTGCTATGGAATAGGAAAAAAGAGTAGGGTCCACCAACTTAACAATAAAATTTACACGAGATTTTTTCTTATTTATTTCTTCTAAATACAACATACATGTAACCCAAGTTGTTTGATAAGGCACAACACCTCAGTACAGTATAATAATGTCAAATAATAAATCATATAATACTCTGATTTAATGGCGAATTTAATGATGGATAACAATTCAAAAAAAAAATGTTACGAAGTAAAGCTTTAAAGGCATATAAAAGTTTTAAAAAAATTGAGGTGGATATTTGTAGGGTATTTAAGCATCTTATCCCTTACTAAATTACATAATTAGAGCTTATGTTATGTAATCTTTTAAATATTGTGTATTATTAGACTATATATAATTTATAAGTAATGCAATTTAGTTTAAAAAAATGACAACCCTAAATGCTTTAAAGTAGATTAGTAACATTTTTAATCTCTCTAAATTAGTTAATTGAGTTTTATATTAAAAACTAAAGTAGTATTAAGAAGGATGTGGTATTTTGCAATGGAGAATGATTTATCAAATAAAATTTGTATATCGCTTCCGGTTTTTGATATAAGACTTTGTTTGATTATTATTTTGGTTTTAAATATAAAATCCTAATCCATTTGTCTCTCATATTTATATATATTTTTTCAAAATAGTCTTTCTAATAATAGTAGTTTTAGCCAATATACTTGATTAACAGGAATATTTTAAGAAAGATAATACCTATTTATTATAAATACTAAGTTTAATTTTTTTTAATCTACTTAAATCAGTCAACTAGTTTTTATATTTAGGCTAAGAGGTAGTATAAAGCTATTTTTAGCAAGTTTTCAATTGCACAATCCACGTGCTGGTCAAGAAAAAATTTGC